TAGAGGTACTGTTTTATGAGAGAGAGATGGCCTTTCTAAGAATGGGCAATCTCAGGACTGTTAAATTAAGTCTATTCTTCTCCCCAAGTACATTACAAAGGAATATTAATGAGGGTAAATTATTATGTCTCTTAATAATTTCAGATGGATTAAAGTCTTAAATATAAAAAAAGTTAAAACAACTAGAATAAAATAATAATTAAGGGTTAACGTTTACTGAGCTCTTGCTATATCCCTGGCATTATGTATTTTATCTGTATGACCTTCTTTAATGTTCATAGCAACTCCATGAAGTATTGAGAAATGATACTCAAAATACTAAAAAACCAGTATCACATGGCTGCTACATCATTAAGGTGTGTACTTTTTAATATCAGCCCCAGAGATAACTACTATTATTATCTCCATTTTATTTTTTAGAAAAGAAGCAAACAGAGAATTCAAGATATACAGCTAGTACATGACAAAGATGGGATTTTTTAATTTAGCCTGTTCCAGAGCACCGACTCTTAATCATTGTGCTATACTGCCTCTCAATTAAATAAATAAATAAATAAACCATAATTTAATCACATTAAAATTTAAAACTACATATAGTAAAAAGCATAATAAATAAAGTTAGAAGCCACTGCCTGAGAGATTATTTGCGACACTCGTAATAAGCATTAAATTTACATACAAGAAACTTTTCCTTACAAGATAAAGGCAAAAACAAAATGGGAAAAATCAGCAAAGTAGGTAAGTAATTCAGAGAAAAGGACACCGAACAGCCAATAAATACATGAAAAATGACAATATCAATAATAATAATAATAACATATGCAAACTAAGATGACATACCATTTCACACTCACAAGACTGGGTACATTTTTTTAAAAAATCAGATATTGGCAAGGAGGGTAAAGATGAGAAATGACATAAATCTTCATTCACTGCTGGGAAGTATAAATTGGTAAAACTATTTTAGGGAGATACTTGGCTGCATCTAATAAAGTTGAAGATCCACATATCCTCTGATCCAGTAATGGTATTTCTAGGTTCACATCCTAGAGAAACCCTGACATGCACATCAAAGACACATGAGTAAGGGTGTTCACTGCTGCACTGTCTTGATATGTTTTATTACTGAGAAATAACTCAAATGTCCATTTGAGCTGGGGAACAGAGAAAAAATGATATATTTAAATGCTATTATATAGCATATTACACATATTATACAGCAGTAAAAATGAACAAAGTACACCTATAATATACACATGTAACACAAACAAAATTGAGTAAAAAAAGTTGCAGACCATAATGTATCACTTAAATAAGCTATAAGATATATATACAAAACAGTATTATGTATTGTTCACAGATAAGCAAATGTATTAAAGGTTAAAAAACTACACATGGCCTCTCTGACATGGCTTAGAATTCACTGTTTTAAAGCCAAGCACACAAGAAGAAACCCACTTGTTACATCTTTCACTATGATGCTACTGAACACACTACATAGTACCATACATAGTAAAGTCTTCTCTTTATGAGACATCAGTGAATATATTGGGGGGACAGGGCGAGGGGAAAGGCTAAAAAAAAAACAACAAAAAACCAATGTTCTAATTTCCATGTCAAAAATTTGGAAAAGGCAAGATCAAACTAAAAGAAAGTAGAAAGAAGGAAATAAAGATATGAGTTAAAAATCAATAAAACAGAAAAATAGTAAACAATAGACAAAAATCAGCAAAGTCCAAATTTCATTCTTTGAAATGAAGAAAAAGGGATAAAAAATTACCAATATCGAAAAAGTGGACATCACTACTATAAAGATGTTAGTAAGATAATTCTGAACAGCTTTCAGCAATAAATGACAACACAGATGAAGCAATTTCTCAAAAGCCAACACAAAAAGAAATATACATATATATCTCAATGGGTCAACATCTATTTTAAAAACCAAATGTTATTAAAAACCTTCGCACAAAGTAAACTCCAGAATCAAAAGGTTTCATTAGTGAATTCCCTTATACCTTTAAGGAAGAAATAACATCAATTGTACATAAACTCTTGCAAAGGGCAAAAAACAGGAAAACACGTCTCAACTCATTCATGAAGTTAGCATAACCCTGATACCAAAATGTGACAAAAATAAAAATAGAGAGATGTAGATATATAGAGAGCGCAATCTTGCTCATGAATATAAATGCAAAAAACCTAAATAAAGTAATAGGAAATCAATTCTAACAACACTTAAAAGGATGATGAATCACAATCAAGTGAATTCATTCCAGGAATAAAAAGATGGTTTAATATTTAAAATCAAGAAATGCAATCTACCACATTAACAGCAAATATATAACAATAATAATAATAGTCTGATCATTTCAATAGTAGAGAAAGCATATGGTAACAATTAACATTCACTCACAACAAAAATTCAGTAAATGAAATAAAAGGAAACTTCCTTAATCTGATGAAAGATGTGTATTAACCACCCCCCAGCACACATGCACACATACAAAAAATTTAACAGTTAACTATTAAAACTTTCCTGAAATTCTATCATCATTTCAATTCAACATTGTTAGAGGTCCTAACAAATGCACTAAAGAGGAAGGTGGGGAAATGGAGACTTGCAAATGGTATGATTGTACAGTACATATAGAAATTACACATCCACAGGCAAATTATTAGACTAATAAGTGAATTTACCAAGGTATTCGGAAAAATAAGTCAAAGTACAAAAATCAGGTAAATTTGTTCAAACAACACAAACTTAAAAAATAAAAATTTAAAGTACCATTTATAACAGCAAAATCAGATACCTAAAATAAAGCAAATATGTATAAAATTTTACAGAAAACTACAAAAACATTAGCAAAAAATATTTCTAAAGTCCCAAATAAAAAGAACGAGTTTTGACATATATCATGAATTGGAAGACTTGCTATAGCAAGTATGTCAATTTTTCTCAAATTCACAAAAAATTCAATGTAATCCTATCCAAAATCCCTGCAGGTTTTTTGCAGAAATTGGTAAGTTCATTTTAATATTTAAATAGACTGAAAAAGGTAAGTTAAGCAAACCCTGGAAAAGAACAAAGATGGAAGACTTTCACTACCAGATGTCGATAGTTGTCTTAAAGATAATGGTAATTAAAACAGTGTACCAATGGCATAAGGATAAGCAAAGAGACCGATGAACTAAGAGAGAGTCAAGAAATATATGACAAAAATAACTGTAGAGAGAAGGAAAGATTGAGTTTAAAAAACTGATTAATCTTGACCTCTACCTCACACTATGCACAGAAATAACTTCCAGATGACTTTGTAGCTCTAAATGTTAAAAGTTAAAAAACAAATCTTTTAGAATAAAACCCTATTGTCATCAACTCTTCATTATTTTTCACACTTTTCCCTTTTAGATCAGAAGACCTAAGATCTTAAAGACTAATGGTCATTCCAGGTACATGTGAACTTCTAAAAGTTATTTTGTCATTAAGTTACAGGAACTGTGAACTGAATGTGGTGAACCTTCTGAGAAATGTCAAGTACTAAGTGGATTACTGCTGCCATCTTCTGGATACAATGTTCATTTCCATTTCAATCACATTTGCTTTAAAAAGTCCTAGTAATAAAAAAGCACATAAGACCTTAAAATGTAATCTTTTCTTAACTTCCTTTATCTAACAGAATAGAGATGATCTCTGTGAATTAAATCTGTAGTCTCTCTGTGCAACTTAATAAGCCTTTGGTAACAATGGTTATTTTTTCCAAGTTACAGGTTTATGTGAGTGTAAAAAAATTATATTGCCTGAAATCCACTTAAAATTTAATATATCCATAAAGCCTACCAATTTTCCATTCACCTACTGAAAAATCATTTTATATACTGAGTAAGTACGTGAGTCACTTTAAACACAACAGATACACTCTAAACATATGGCATAACATATACATCACTTGCAACGTTTCTCAAAATATACATGTATACATATGCATGGTGGGTCTTCTAGTACTCACTCATATTGGTTTCCTTACCTTCCAAGCACACAGGAAAATTGCTTAGTACATAACAAGTTCGTAACATTAGTTTGGGTCAATAAGCTGTGTGTGAAAGTTCCATGTGCCATCTGCAGGCCAAAGTTAGTAATTGCATGTTTGAGACCTTCAGGCACTCTTCCTCTACCACAGTGACAAGATGGCCTCAAAAGAAGATGGCAAAGCCTCAAGGTAAAAACAGCTTAGAACACTTACGAACTTGCCCTAGAGATTTGTTCATATCTACAAGAAACTTTGTAAGAGTAAAAAATAATGTTTTATTGTGTTAAGCCCCTGATAACTGGCACATAATGTTAACTGAGCCTAAGCCAGAGTTATCTTAACAGCAGCACTACTGACATCTTGAGCTGGATACTTCTTTGCTATGCGTGCTGTCCCAAGCATTATAGGACATTAAGCAGCATTCCTCGTTGTTTATTTGCTAGTAGCACCCCTCAATGGAACCCCTCAATGTGACAACTAAAAATGTCTCTCTGACATTGCCCTTCCCTCCAGTTGGAGAACCATTAGCCTCACTTAACCTGAAAAATACAAATGTCTCTCTCTCTATATATATGTGTATGACAGTATATTTAACCACATGTCATGTGACACAAATATATGCTTTATTGTAGCCTTCATGGATATAAATTTACATTCTCAAACTAGGAGAGTTAATTTAACTGAAAAATAATCCAATCCATATCACAAGTCTCTCTAGCAGGAATGTCCAACCTGCGGCCTGTGGACCACATGCAGCTCAGGATGGCTATGAATATAGCCCAACACAAAACTGTAAATTTACTTAAAACATTATGAGATCTTTTTTTGTGATTACGTGTTATAATGTATTTAATGTGAGGCTCAAGACAACTGTTCTTCTTCCAGAGTGGCCCAGAGATGCCAAAAGGTTGGACACCCCTGCTACAGTAAGGCAAACAAACATTCCAAAAGGGTAGAGAATTCCATACATACTATGCTGTTCATTTCAGAGGACTCATAGCTCCCAACAGGGTGGACATTTCCAATGGGTTCCAAGCCCTCTTCATCCCACATGTATGTTCCATCAGAGCTATCAGATGGAGAGAGTTCAAATGAAGAACCGACTCTGTAGTCTGTATCTGGTGAAATCAAGTTATTCCCAGAATTATGTTTCGTACATTCACTCCTGTCTTCAATTGTTTTTTTTTTAAAAAAAGAGAAAGAAACAGTAATTAATTCACAAAAATATAATTATTTCTCAGGTTCCAAAAATACAAATTATATTTTTATATATATTTTAAAATAATAACTTGATATAGCAAAAAATTTAGCAAAGAGCATTCATACTTGTAGCATTTTCTAACTTCTAAACAATAAATAAATACAAAGGTGAAATGTTGAAAATAACCAACTGAAATGTTTCCCAATAGATGTAAAGAAAATTCAGAATCATCTTTGACTTCTGCAACATTTCTAGAAATACAAGTAAAGCCTAATATTCCTTTAACATTTCCTAAGATACTTACATTTAAGCACTGGCCAGGAAACTCCTTCCTCTGTGTGTATCTTTTTAGCCTCACAGTTGGTCCCTAAGGAAAAACGTTGTTCTGACAATCACTCCTAACTAGAACACCCTTAACAATCAAGGGTTATACACATCTCTAGATATGGCCTAGTGCCTTGACCAGGCCATGTGACTTTATCCAGTCCCTTCAGTTTGTTCTTCTTTCAGGCTGTACGAGCACAAAAATAAATTTGCTCTGACACTTAGTGCTAAGATAACCAAGAAGAAGCAGAAATGTTTAACATTTGCTATCTCACTTTCCTCAATTAAAAAAATAAAGCTCCTCTGAAAGTATTAACTATAAAGCTTGTTATAACAAGAAATCTACGTCTTTCATTAAAAAAAAATTAAAATTTCCTGGGATAAGAAAATTCATTAGATTAGACATAGCTGCTCATTTATCCTTTGGTATAACTTTTACTTTTAACAAACAGCGATGATCTACTACCCTAAGAAAAGAGATGGTTTAAAATGGCATGCCAGACTTCTGGTCAAGGTGGAGGCATAGATAAACACACCTAACCTCCAAGCACAATTATATCAAAAAAAATAGGTACACTACAAAATAAATATCACCCAGAATTTTCAGAAAATCAAGCTGTGTGGATGTCTGACAACTAAGGATTTAAAGAAGCCACACTCATCCAGACAAGTAGGAAGGGTGGAGACAAGGGGAGACATGAAGAGGCGTGGAGAAGCAGTGCAGAGATGGGAACAGGTAGTCTCACATCCACGTATGGTGGATAAAAAATGAGAGGGATACCTAAGGAATGAGAGATCCCAGCCCCAGAATAGACCATCCATTCCAGGGTCCCAGCGCCAGAAAGGTAAGTCCCCATAACTTCTGGCTGTAAAAACCAGTGGGAGTTGGGGCAGCAGAAAAAACTGTGTCCTCTTAAAGGGCCCCCAAGGGACTCAGGACCCAGGCAGACCCACCCCCTCTGGGATTCAGCACAAGGGAAACAGCTGGAAGGGTACCAGTGGCATATGGGGAGAAAGTAAAGTGCAAGTGGGGAGACAGATTCCTCCCAAGCAAAACTCCAGAAGCCAGGCAGTGCCACCGTCCCCTCTGAGAGCCCTCCCAAACACAGAGCAACAGAGTGTAGACACAGGTTGCCCTGCCCTGGCAATTACCTAAGGCTCCGCCCCATACAACTTAACAGGTATGTTAAGACAGGGAGTCCAGACAGCTCTACATAATATATAGAAACAAACACAGGGAGGCTGCCAAAATGAGAGGACAAAGAAATATGGCCCAAATGAAAAAACAAAACAAAATTTCAGAAAAAGAACTAAATGAAATGGAGCTAAGAAGCTTTATCAGATGTACAGTTCAAAACAATAGTTATCGGGATGCTCCAGGGCCTTATTGGGTACTTCAACACCATAAAAAAGACCCAGGCAGAAAGGAAGGCTGCATTAAGTGAAATAAAGAAAACTCTAGAGGGCACCAACAATAAAGGCAATGAACCTGAAAAGCAAATCAATGATTTGGAACACAGGAAGGAAAAAATCATTCAATCAGAACAAAAGAAAGAAAAGAAAATTCAAAAAAATGAGGATAAGCTTAGGAACCTATGGGACATCTTTAACCGTACCAACATCCAAATCATAGGGGTGCCAGAAGGAGAAGAGGAACAGCAAGATATAGAAAATTCATTTGAAAAAATAATGAAAGAAAACTTCCCTAATTTGGTGAAGGAAATAGACATACAAGTTTAGGAAACACAGAGAGACCCGAAACGGACCACACCAAGACACATCATAATTAAAATGCCAAGGTTAAAGATAAAGAAAGAATCTTAAAAGCAGCAAGAAAGAAGCAGAGAGTTACACACAAGGGAGTTTCTGTAAAAAACTCTGCAGGCTAAAAGGGACTGGCAAGAAGTATTCAAAGTGATAAAAAGCAAGGACCTACAACCTAAAGCACTCTATCCAGCAAAGCTATCATTAAGAATTGAAAGGCAGATACAGTGCTTCCCGGAGAAGGTAAAACTAAAGGAGTTCATCATCACCAAGCCATTGTTATATGAAATGCAAAAAGGAATTACACAACAAAAAGATCAAAACGATGGATATTAAAATGCTAATAAATTCACAACTTATCAGTAAAATCCAAATAACAAACTAAGCAAACAAGCAGAACAGGAACAAAATCATAGATATGCAGATCATTTGAAGGATTATCAGTTGGGAGGGGGAAGGGGAAAAGGGGGGGAAATGTGCAGGGATTAAGAAGCACAAATTGGTAGGTACAAAATAGGGGGACATTAAGATAGTTTAGGTCATGGAGTAGCCAAAGAACCTATATGCATGATCCACGGACATGAATTAAGTGGAGGATTACTGGAGGGAATGGGAGTACCAGGTGGAGGACGACAAAGGGAAAATATTGGGACAACTGTAATAACATAATAAAGTATATTTAAAAAATAAAAATAAAAAAATAAAATGGCATGTCACTTGTTGGGGAAGTGTAAGAAATTGTTTTTGAAACAAGTAGGAATAGGCCTGGGTATGACAGTCAAAAAAGAACAAAGGTAAGATTCTTTAGGAGAAAGTTTTTATTGATGTTCTAAAGTTAAAAACAGAACAGGACAAAAGTCACATGGAAGAAAAATGTTGCCCCTCTACTATTTTACCTAGATTCATTCCTCCATGAAGTTGATAATATCATGGATTTAGAAGATAACCCTAAATGTGAATTCAGTTATATTATCTAGGAAAAAGCAAACAAACTTAAGCATATTAATATTTACCAGAGACACTTATATCTATCCACTCATCAGTTTTACTGAAAGGTTTTTCATTTTCCTTGGGATCAAATATATCCTTTGGTGGTTCATTTTCATGCTTCTCTTCTTTGAGAGGAATTTCCTCTGGAGTTATTCTAGTTCTGTTGGAGTCTTCTATGTCTATAAAATCATCACTGAAGTCTTCACTTAAATCATTCTTATCAGAAGATGACAAAGAAGACAAGGAAATATCATCCACATCATCACTCAGGTATCTAATTTTAGCATCATGCTTCATGGTCTGGCCATTTTCTGTTCTATAATTATCATTTTCAATTAGCTCTTGGTCCTTGTCAGTAGCTCTGACCTTAGCCAAAAGTGCAGTATCTTCCTCTACACACGTGCCAGCAGGTGAATTTTTATTACCATCAACTGTGATAGTCCCAGAAAATGGAGATCGACTAGATTTCAGTAGAGGGGGATGAGCCACCCTATAACCCAAAGTGGAAGTTATACCTGGGCCATTTGGTATAGCCAACTTCTTTCCACCAGCAGCGTAAGGCCTATTAAATCCATACCCTAAATGTTCATTCCCATTGAGTACTTCTGACTGCTGGGAATTTCTTGTTAGCATAGTTGACCTCAGAGGCACTCTAATGGGCAGCTGTTGGTTCTGATAAGGCTTAGTAAGATCTGCAGCTCTATTGAAGGAATGTGATCTGGTTATAGATGAAGGTGGAAGGAATGAATTCTGAATGGAATGTGAAAAACTCTGTGACCTTACCATTTTTTCACAAGTAAGAGATTTAATATTGTCTAGGGATTGTGCTAAGCTTTCTCCAGAACTGCTTCTGGTAGCACAGGAGTTTGCTCTAGGCCTCTGTATGCTACCAGTCGATCGATTTCCATAAAATCCATTCAACTGTGATTTTGGAGCACTGATTGAAGAATATGAAGTCCTTCCTAAAAATGTGCTTTTGGTGAATTTACCCAAATTAGATGGTCCAGACAAAGACTTTTGTTTTAACTCCTCTGTAGGTGACACAAACATAGTGGATGGCTTTGCTAACTTTGATGTGAATAAAGAAACACTTTTCAAACCTCCTTTTATCCCATTTTTAGCAAACATTCCTTGAGCAGATGTATGTTTTTCAGGGTTAGTTACTTTATCATGTGAACTTTGGGTATCATTAGACTCTTCAGCACTTTGTGCACTAAGTTGGTATTTAGTAGCCGGCCTCCAATTAAATGAATGAGGTGATGGACAATCAGAGCCGTTATTTTTGATGTAACTTTTGACATTGCTACTCTTGGAAGTTCCCAATAAATTAACAGGTGTCCCACTTGACATTGGCTGCAGTGTACTTCTTACAGATTTTGTTCCATACTTTGGCAACTTGGAACCCAAAAAAGTCTTGATTTGTGTTTTTTCTTCCATGAGCTATAAGGTACATTTGTTCTTAAAATTTGACAGAATCTGAGGAGAGAAAAAAAGAAAACAAAAAAACAGATTACACATTCCTAAATAAAGTCAATTACATAGATTATTACATAATGTGAATGCATATTTTTATATAATTAAATGCAAGAAAACCCACAAAACTACTCATGATTCTTACAGAATTCATAAATATGGAATGCAATGATTAAATTAGTAACTTAGAAGAAAATAAAAAACATTTTTATTAACACTTATAAACACTTTTATATACCTGGGCTATAAGTGATTATAGCAAAACCCAGAAATAACAAATTAAACTACTAAAGAATATATTAAAAACCCACTTCTCTAGCATATATTTTAATTTTAATCCAAACTATTTTTTAACTTTGGGTAATTTTATATCCTTCAACAACATGAACATGTGATTTTTGGTTTATTTACAAGCATACATGATCTTATAAAAACCAGGCTACATTTTTAAATGTTCATCATTCAAGTCATGGGAAGGATATAAGTGAAGAATACAATAGCACCAAAAAGTCTAATGGCATTAAGGGCTGAGATATCAGCTGTCGTTTTAAGCAACAATCTCAAAAGAATTTTTATCCAGCAATATAAAAAGACACTACAGTTAATGTCAGAATAAAAAGTATGATAATTCAATAAAGCTTATTAGTCCATTAATCTCAACCTCTCTGATTTATTTTAAAGGTAATATAAGACAACAAACAGAAAAAGTACAATGCACAAATAAGAACATAAAAGTAGAAACAATTAGTGTCCTTTAATTGAGTAACTTTAATAAATTATGACAGGTCATATGATGAGATTAAAAAGATGAAACAAAAATATTAAAAGGTGTACCCTAACATTAATAGAAATATAATATGGTCACTAACTATGTGTTCACTGAGATTATATAAAAAGTCTACAAAAGCACCCACAAGAGCAAAATGCAAATAAAAGAAAAATATATGCTTAAGGGTCAATGATGTTTTTAAACTTATGTATCTTACGACATTATCTTTAATTTGTTAGTTTTATTTTTTTAATCTAAAAATTGGTTCCACGTCATCCCTGACCTTAAGAATTTAGAGAATTTCTAGAGTGCATATATGTTATTAATTATGTCAAAAGTAATACTCAGGAAATCATACAGACTTTCAAGTAAAGATGGTGGGGTACAACAGAATTACCAAATCTCATGTCCCCAATATTTTTTTTAAAAAGGAAAACAATATATGCATTTATGTATGTACGTGTATGTGTGCATGTGTGTGTATAATTTTTTTAGCAAAAAACCCACCAGCTGCCATCAAACAAGGAACTGTTTAAACTAAGAACCTCTGAACTTTAGAAAGTAGACAGAAAGATTTTGTACAGTATGATCCGACTCCTAGCCTGATTACACTGCCTGGAAGCAGTAATGAGAAAAATAGATGAGTTAATAAAACTTCAAAGTTTTAATGACTATCCTCCAATTTGGAAGGAAAAATTCAATTTGGCATACCCTAGAAAAGTCTAGAAAACATCTTCAGCACAGAAGCTTCGAAACCTCAGTTGAGACAGAGTGGCCACCAGAACCTGTTGACTTCCAAGGCACTATTCTGAATTGAGAGAAGGGTCTGAAGCTACTAGAAATACACTACACCCTAAGCATGATGGAGCGAGGCCACTACAGGACACTTAACAAAATCTAAAGAGACAGGAAGGAGAGAGAGCCTGAAGTGCCTGAAAAGCTCTTCCCCTATTACCACTTTATATCCTTCTACTAAAGAGAAAACAGAGAACAACAAAAGGTACATCCAGGGGGTGCAGTAAAAGAAGGAAACAAAGTTATAGCTAAGGTAAGAAAGGCTTGGAGAATTAACTCATGTTACATCAGGGCCAATACAATATCTGATCTAGCTAAGCCTGTACCTAGCAAGATAAAAAAGAACCACCACTTAACTGTACATGTAACAGTGGATTCTTTTGACATTATCTCTGTAAATGCTGACTCTGACTAATTGATGTAGCTTGTAGATGAACAGCATGTTTGTATAAGAATCCTAGGCACTAACGTCAAAGACACATACTCTGACTTTCAGGGATCCCAGCCCTGGGAGATTTGCTGACCTTCAACCATGAAGCCAGGATGACGTAGAGACAGGATGATGTATGCCCAGGGTGACTAAACCAGGATGATGCACACCAGACCATCATTTGTCTTGCCAGAATGGACTGTGCTAGTCTGCACATGGAGAACTTTCAACCCTCTTCCCTGATTATTTTGTTCTATTCCACTCTCCCTCCTCATAAAAACCTCTGCCTCCACTGAGATGGTAGAGATGGGCTTTGAGACACGAGTCCTGCATCTTCCAGGTGGCCAGCACCCAAAACTAAACCACTTTCCTTTATATCAGCACCTGCCTCTGAAGTATTGACTTTTGTAACAGCAGACAGCTGGACCGACATTTCAGTTGCATATAAACAAGGGGGTGAAAGGAAGGAGAAAGACAAATAATGACTATAGCATGAAAAACAAAGGAAGAACTCAGTCTGAAACATAAAAAGGAAAATAAGGAAATCCCCAGTGAGTTCTCTGTAACAGAGAACAACCTACAAAGAGCATATATTTAATAAAATAAAAGCTCGAAGATGAAAAGACAAAAGAGGTAAGTTGAAAATAGAGCTAAAGAAATCAATGAACAAGAACAATGAATTAGGGGGAATAAAACCAAAAAAGAAAAGAACTAAAGACAAAAGAAATCAAACTGATGCAAACAATAAAAACGTAAAATAACCTGATTATTGAGGAGAAAAAAAAGAAAGATATCAATTAGATAGAAGATGTAGGACAGACATTGACAAGAAAGATAATTAGTATCCCTGAAGTAGGATACCTGAACAAGTAGAAAAGAAAAAGCACACAGACATAATAGAAAATATCCCTAAAATAAAGGAGAAAAAATATCTACAGAAGAGAAGGAAAAGTAAACTAAACCATAGATTCAAATACATATCTAGGCTGAGTTAATGAAATATGTAAAATAAAGACATAACTTTCCAAGAATACAGGCAGAAAAAAAATCACTCTGTAAAGAAAATTTTAAGACTTCAGAATAAGCAAAAGAGAGTACTGGATACCCTTCCAATGAAATGGTTGCAGCGTCTGTGGATAATTTAATCCTACAGGAATTATCATTGGGCTATTTGGTAACTCTGAAAACAGAGGTTAACATGTAGAAAATTAACAGTAATGCAAACAATTATTGTCTACAGGCATGCAAGTAAATTGTCCTGAACAGCTGATTTCCTTCTACTACTATGGAAGAAGCCAGCCTTGTATCCATTGGCAAATTCATTTTAATATTCCTGATCTACAAATGTACCTTTTCTTTGCATTCTCCTTTGAACCAGCTATTTTCTCTAACTACCTTGTTAATAATGAGATAAATAAAATCTTAAACATGTGTTCATTTGCTATTTGAGTGGAAGTCATGATTTTATCCTCTTCTAAAATTTATCCCTTAACAGTTTGGAAATTCCATCAAGATACCCAGTAGATTCACACAACACAGCTGGGTCATTTCCTTGCTAGAGTGGTAGATTTCACAGCTTAAGTCCAGACATGTCTTTGTCTTCCAGAAGTGAATAAAGAAAAGCAATAGAACTTTGCTAATTCCGTCTATTTTAACTTGCCTCTCTTCTAATTTTGTATTGTTTTTGCATTTAGTTTGTTTGTTTCTTTTGTGGTCAGTAAGTTATCCCTTTTGGTGATAACAATGATTGTGAATTTGATTTTATGAATTGCCATTTAGTAATCACTATGCACAAATTAATGGTTCCAGCAGTGTCCAGCAGGCAGCCTGCAGGCTGCATGCAGCCCAGGATTGCTGTGAATGTGGTGGCCCAACAAAAGATCATAAATTTACTTAAACCGCCCCCCACTTTTTTTTTTTCTGCTCATTAGTTTTCCCTAGTGTTTGGGTACTTAATGTGTGGCCCAAGACAACTCTTCTTCCAGTGTGGCCCAGAGACACCAAAAGACTGGACAATAGAATAGATCTATTCTGTGTTGGATGAGAGAAAAAGGAAAACCTGATTCTTTAGTTATTTGTTCATTTATCTCTTTTGTGTATCTATTTTGTGCTCAAACCAACTTAGAATTTCAATGTAACAGAAAGGAGAAGAGTTTTTTGGTATCTGAACAGGTCCAGCTTTATATTTCTGTGTTAACTCTGCAGCCATGGCTAAAATTGTAAAACTGGAAATGATAAGGTTTCTCAGTATTTGTATGGCTACGTGTCTATAATTCAGAAAGATCTTTACCTTTCTTTGTGAGTACCTAAGGCTTTCCTAACTCCAGAGGGTACTAACAAATTATATTATAAAAACTTATAAAACAACTCTGTTCTGATTGGCTAACAGAGATAAATATGCACTTACTTAAACTGAATATTACCAAAATTCCCACAAAATAAGTAAGCTGATCTAATATTTTAATTGTGTTCTACTTTTTTTATTACTCTTACAGAAACTAACTCAGAAAGGTTTTAAGAACCAAGTTCACATATTAGGTTAAATAAATGTCTAGCAAACAAAATTGGTTTAATAAAATAGGTTTGTCTTCTGATTTCTTATTAGTGTTAAGTATAAGCATATATATTTATTCTACTAGAGTAACCTTTTTGAAATGTATATAAGGTTACTGATCAAACAAGCCAGTATTGCTCCGACACAATGTTTAAGATTATGAAAATGTAAGTCTGTGTTTAAATTGAAGAATTATTCTGACAAATTTTTTATTTCAACACTGTTTTATAGTATGTCAGTTTACAAATAATTTCCAAGAACTTTAAAGGTAACCTAAGACCTTGGACTAATATTAAATTAATCAGTGGATAACCATTGGCTCACTAGATCATTTCTAAGTAAGAATACTAAAGTATTGATCAACATAATTTCAAAATCATAGGCTCTTGCTTCTTATTTTTGTATGCTACATACATAAATGAATGTGTTTATTTTTGTTACTTTGAGAAATTGTA